CTTACATGCAACTGCCTCTAAATCTTCACCGCGAAAAGCGCTGTTTTCTTCAGTGCAAGAACAGAGTCAACATCAACCAAAAGATAATTTTCTTGAAGGACATGTAACGTATCAAGTCTGTTTGAAATTAATGAAACTCAAGTGAAGGTTACTATAGCTTACCCCGGTGGTAATGTTGCTATTCCAACACTTCACGACAAGCAATCCTCGTTGGCATAACGGCAAAAACATCTCTTCCTTCAAGTAAACGATAAACAGTCTGTTCTTGTTCCATTTTTAATCAAAAAAGTGATCAGATCCAATTTTTATAAACTTATCGAGAGCCTTTGTGATGAATCACTGATCTAATTATAGAATGCAACAGCAAACAGCCAATCATAATGCTGCGTTTGTGGGCGAACGTGGAAAGTATAAAACACTGGGTCTTGCTTGCAGGCCCACTATTCTTCTTTCGGTGGGCCTGCACGAGGGCTAACCTTCGTTTAACCGACACCAGGTTATTAACTTTAATGTGTGGGCATTGAATAGTTCAATCACTTATAGCTGGTTGTGACTAAGCTTTTCAAATCTTAACTGTGATATTTTTCTATTTATAGAAAGAACAAAATTTTGGTCACGAATCGTTACAGTGTTATAAGCACTCCCAGTTTTAGATGTAGATTGTGTTTTAATAAGGAAATATCACAAACTCTCTATAGAAATAGTCTTAGTCCTTATTAGAAAGACTTGGTCACGAAAACTTTTTATCTGTCATTTTGTAAATACAGAGATCCTAAGGATACGTACTGTGAAGTTTCAGGGTAGTGCAGAAATTTTGGGGCATACACGGATGCGATTGTCCTCGTCCTAACTTGCCGCACATAGCAATACTGCGCATACATGGAAGTTTCGAGTTTGAATAATATTCTTTTTAAACCTCGTTGTACATTTTTAGACATTTAGTCACTTATATACATTATTAGACCGTTATTATATACATTTTTGTCCTTTATATATATTGTTAGACCTTTACATACTTTGTTAGTCATCCTTTACGTATATTGTTAGACCTTTATACACATTGTTAGACCTTTATGTACATTGTTAGAACTTTGTGTACATTGTTAAACCTTTATCTACATTACATGGTTGACCTAACGAGGAGCAGCTGAAAATATGCAACTGTACTTTATAAGCCCAATTGCAGGAATATTATTGTACACACTGTACAGTTGTATTTTTCGCAGCTGCTCCTGTTCAGGTCTAAAAATGTATATAATTACGTATATACACACTCGAAATTCAACCCACAAAAAACCTTTCAACTTGACTGCACATCCATTCATTCATACATACTTCAATCACCCACCTTTTGTGGTATCACCCACTGCCTAGATCTGCATGCACGCCCATTTTGAATCTGTATCCGTGTTGAACATATAAATAGAACGAGGCAACTTGGTTTTGTTATCAGAACACTACTATTGAATCCAGTTGGAGAAGAAAACGAGAAGATATATTAAAAAAGTCAGGGGCGTAGGAAGCAGGGGGCCAGGGGACCGCGGCCCCCCAAATATTTTATACGGGGGGGATAGCTTTCGCCCTCCAACCGAAAAATTATTGAATTAAAAAAAATAATAAAAAATTACTGCGAAATTTTCGAAACTGGAAGTATTTAATACTGTATATATCAATTGTTTATTGTTATTTTAATAACAACATTTTTGTTTTCCTTTTGTCATTGGATGTTTTTGGTCTATGCTGCTTGCTAGGCAGCGGTATTTACTTGCTCAAATGGTTATCATCTAACGCAGTCGCAATTCATAAAGTAAACATATTTATAGTTTACAAATCATAATGACAGAATTTGAAAGAGCTTAACAAAAGTGCGAAAGAAGACCCTGAAAATGCTATTTCCGACGTCTGAAGACTCCAAATTTTAAAAAATTTTCCCGCTCGGCGACAACCATGGTGGCGCCTCGTGGGAGTCGCCCCCCCTTCCTTTTACAAGCTTCCTACGCCCCTGAGAAAACAACCAATAAAACTATTTTTCAAATTTTGGTATCGCTAGTTTGCCAGTGGTGTCTCTCAACGTATAATTTGTAACGTTACTACGATCAACAAACATTCGAATTCGGAGAGGTAATCTGGTGCAAGGCCATTCACAGATTTATATACTATGATAGCCTTGGCAATCTTACCCTGAGATGCAAGATTTCTCCAACCAAGTATTTCAAACAGGTGATCGGCATTTGTATCATAACTGGATGACGTCAGTACTCTTGCGGCACGATTTTGCAATTTTTGTAGTTTATCCGCACGAGTACAACCGCAGCTATACCAAATAACCGAACAGTATATAGTCGAAATATGGCTGGACTAGACAATTGTAAATGAGTTGCATTGTGGAAGGATAAACATAAGGTCTTATGCGCTTTAAAGCCCTATGCCAAAAGCAAGTTTTACACATTTTTTCAATGTGAACATTCCAGGACAACTTCTCATCGATATGTATGCCCAGTGGCTTTGTATGAGAGACTTGCCTAATTGGAACGTTAGGTGAAGAAGGAGTTGTTTTAAAAGTATTCATTTTTTAATGAGAGCCAATTAACAGGAATTCAGTTTTAGTTTGGTTTAAAGTAAGCGTATTTGCTGATAACCATTCACTGACATTGGCAAGATCTTCGTTAAAGTTATGATTGATATCGTAAATATTATTACTTGCATATGTCAAATTAGTGTCATCAGCAAACATACGTGCACGGCAATGTATAAGACAATTAGGCAAATCATTAATATAGAGTAAAAATAGAAGTGGGCCTAATATAGTTCCCTGGATATAGTTCCCTGGGGAACTCCACATCAAAGAAAACGACCATTCGAAGAATGACCATTAACAAAACACATTTGTTGACGTTCACTAAGATAAGATCTAAACCAATTTCCAGCTACTCCGCTGATGTCATGTGCATTAAGCTTACCTAACAAGATTTCGTGATCTACAGTATCAAACGCCTTCTTGAGGTCAAGAAACAGGACAACATTTCTATTTCCATGGTCTATAGTGTTATAAGCCCATTCATTAGTGGCTTCAAGAAGAGTAGTGACAGTTGAATGTAATCCACGAAACCCTGGCTGACAATTAGTTAGGAGTTTATTCTCGGATATTACGCACGTGAATTTGCACCACATTTGGGCCGAAAGTGGTGCATTTTCCCGTGCGTAATACAAATTAATACAAAATTTGCAAATTTCGTAGGGCTATATTTTCCTCATTTTACAACATTTCGCAACCAAACTTTGCAATTTTACTAATTTTAACATGCTCTAGCTTTCTAGCTATCGTGATGGATTTTGTTCTTCTTGCCCGGAAAAAATTTAGTCTATATAGCTGGAATTGCCCATTGCTTTAAAAACTGATACGATCGTTGCGTATATATAAGGGGTCGTTCAGACTGGAAGACAGAATATAATTTCAGTGTATTTTTACTAATTACTCTTTTTATTATATTAAAATCTTTAAATAAAGAGGAAAGAAATGTTATTTTCATGCGAGAATTTGAAATCAGTTTATTTCGTTTACCGATTAATGTTTACCGATTATTATTAATAATAATAATAATAATAATAATAATAATAATAATAATAATAATAATAATATTAAAATCTTTATTTATACTGATAAAAAAAATTGGCTGGTATCAATCGGTGATCAGTGCATAACAAGTATATATACAATAACATAACATAAGTGCGTACCAGTGCATAATTAAGGCTATATAATGTAAAATGTCTATAATTATAAACTAGCTACAATTGTGCGTAACAGCATCCATGTTTATCAAGTACTTATTATTATTATTATTATTTATTATTATTTTCTAAAATTTTACATTAAGTAGTTAAACACTAAATTATAATGCGAATTACAGTTAAGAATGAGAATATACACTTCTCTATTTACAGTAATACTCATATTTCAATCTAAAAACTATTAATTTAAAAACTAACTACTATTAACTATTAAAATTATTTCTATTATATTGTTCGACTCCATAGATAATTGCACTATTTTTAAAACGTTCAGTCCGACAGTTAAAATTATAAAACTTATCTCCACTTAATCTTGTTTCTCTATTCCTAATTTCACAAACTTTTAGTTTATGACAAGGATCAAGCACTCAAGCATCGACAAGATACTTAAACACTTCATTCTTGAACAGCACAAGTGTCGGTTTTAGTTCTCGTATCTCTTTCGGTAGAGAATTCCAATCTCTGGCAGCCGAGAATCTGAACGAGGTCTCGCCACTTTGGTGCATTTTTAATGACAATATTCACTAATCTGAATTGTTTGGAAAGATATCGTTCGGCATATGAAATGAGCTATCAGGTTGATAGCGTTTTGGTATAGACTTTGTCATTCGGCAATAGACTTTGTCATTCGGCAATAGACTTTGTCATTCGGCAAGATATTTTTCGCAACCTTCCCAGCAGTCTTTGCATGCCCAACGTCAGCCTCGTACCCAGGCGCTTTGAATTGCCACGCCGTCGCGTGACTCGCGCGTGGAAATTTTTGTTGAAATCCCGCAACCCAACGTGCGAACAAAGATGGCGGCAATTAGGACAGCTTTATTTTCAAAGTTTCAAGACGCTTTTCGCGATATTATACGTCAATTGTCCAATAGTGAGTTGGATGAAGATGGTGTGGACAGCATTATTTTCCGTCTTGAACAGTTGTCGGTTCATCTTGTTCGGCTATGCAATGTCGACTTGATGAACAACCAAACTGAACGTTTGATTTCGAACACAATAATGCTTCTTCGAAGTTATAACGATGTAAACAGACAAGCATCATCTTTTCAGTTAGAAAGAAACTCAAATGGGAACCGGGGTCGACGACCAAGATTTAGTATATAAGTTCGGAGCAATTGCAGTATCTGAATTTTAATACGATCTTAGCGTGCCAGATATTGCTCAAGCATTGGGCGTTTCAAGAAGTACCATATTCAGACGTATGCGCACATTTGGTTTATCTGTGGGTCAAAGAATGACATATATTTCAGACGAAAACCTTGTGATAACAATCAGACAAGTTCAACAGGACTTTCCTAACGCTGGTTACCGCCGATTATGTTCTCAACTCTTGATCAGAGGCATCAGAGTACCGCAAATGGCTGTGAGAAATGCCATGCACAGAATTGATCCTGAAGGTGTTGCCATGCGATGGTTGCAATTAGTACCCCGGCGTAGTTCCAATGTCCCTGGCCCTTTATCACTTTGGCACATAGATGGCAATCGTAAATGAATAAGGTGAACCTTCATAAGAAACCATTGTAAGAAAGCATGATGTCATGACAGAATACTAAAGAATGGGCCATTCCATTTATATTCAAGAGCACCTCTCTATTAAGAGGTCCTGTCACAGTAAAAATAATCGGAACCCCCTTGGATACATCTTTGGGAGTTGCCAAATAGGATATTGTAAGTACCCCTTTAGGATATTGTTTCCTTCCCCCTGTGATAATACTATAAAAACATCAAAATTTTGCTATTTTTTTAAATACCCACAAGCTACCCCTACAAACATCAGATGAAAACCCTTCCTCCCGACTGGATATCTAGGCCCCTCAATCCTTATTGGGCGCATATAAATTGGAATGGCCGAGTTATTGCAGAACATTATTACATTTCAAACTACTATAAGTTAATCTTGGCACAATTCTTGTAAAACACGAAAGTCTATAATTAAACTAAGAGAAACACTGACAAGTAAAATTTCTGTTGTCAAGGCTGGTTTACACTGACTATCAAACTTCTGTGATCAAAGTAGGAATTCTGCATATGTAAATTCTAATTTTTAAAGCATTTGTAAGAAATGTTTGGGGGACCTGACTCAGTGTTTAACATTGAATCAGTTCCCTCAAACATTTCTTACAAATCTTCCAGAACTTACCGGCCTACCATGTAAAATTCCTACTGTGATCACAGAAACTTTGATAGTGTAAACCAGCCTTTAAACAGAGTGGAATCCTTTTTGTAGGGTGCATTTTCAGCTAATGGGTTAACAGCTTTTGTAGCAAGTTAAACAGCGAGCGGTCCCTCCTTTCCGCGGGTTTAGATTTCCGGGCATGCGAAAGGAAAGGAGGGACTGCCGACAACACATCAAGAAACGAAATACGCGTTGCCCACACAACGCAAAATTCCCATTGGTCAAAATCGATACGCCTGTCAATCAAATCTGATACGTAGTAATTATGCTATCAATAATTTCC